CCCCAAAACCCCAAAACCCCAAAACCCCAAAACCCCAATACTGCTCAAAATTCTTGAATCCTAATATTATTAATTTATGCACCCGACAATAATGTTGAAAGAATACCCATTTCTGAAGAGTTCTCGCTAAGGGCACCTGCTCCAAAGAGGTCACCAATATCAGGCATCTGGTTGGAGCTCTCAATACCTTCTGTTAGGATGAGTTTGGTGAATAGCTTAATAGATTCAACTATTCTCTGGACTTTTTCTTCAAAATCAATATCACTTTCCTCTTCTTCTACCATAGAAATGATGTCCTTTTGGGGAATCTCGTTGGCAAATACAGGCTCTTCAGTAGGCTTAGGGTCTGAGGCAGTTTCTTGAGCTTCTTCCTCGTCAGTAATTTCGACTACTTTTGGCTCAGACTCTTCATTAGGAGCCTCTTTCACCTCTTCTTTGGGACCCTCCTTCAAAGATTGGATTATTGGGTTAGTTTCTTTGTACAAATCTCTATTTCTGTAAATTGCTGGAATCAGTTTGAGGTAAAATAATTCTGAATTTCCATTCGCTATTTCAGAGAGTTCTTTCTTCATTCCTTCAACAAGATGCTCATAGGTTCATTCAATGGAATCTATGAGAATACTTTGGCTGTAGCGTGACTCAAGGTAATCTTTCATGAGCTGCATGACCTTCTTCTCAAGCAATTCACTGGCTGTTTCTTCCTCAGAAGGCATGAACTCATTTTTGGGGAGATCTTTCTTGAGCTCTTCCAAACTTTCGAGATCTTTCTCAATTCCTTCCGTATATTTATCAAGATTGGCTTCGTTGAAATAATCAACTAACTTAGTCACGATGAGGCTTGTGTACTTCTTCACGCTTTCTTCTTTGAGCATGTTGAGAGCTTCAGCGTTGAGCTTCTTTTTGGGGAAATCATCAGAATCGGAATCAAAATCTGTATCTTCTCAGTCCTTGGTCTCGATCACAGGGGTGGGATCGAATAAATTATCATTGATTTCAGCATATATCTTTCCAAGAATCTCCTCGGTGAATTTAGTCACAGTCATCTTTGACTTGAGTGTGGTCGTAGCCATGGCAACATCAATTACTGGGTCTATCACCTCATGCTTTAGATACTCCACAAAGTTAGTGAGAACATCAAACAGCAGGTGCATGAAGTGATTGTGCACCGCTGTAGTGACTTTTTCATCATACTCAGCCTTTTTCTTAGCGCTTTTTTCTTCCTTCTTTTCTTCTTCAGTTTTCTCCTTGGTTTCTTCCTCTCCTCCAAGTTTCTCAATGATGTCTTGAAGGTTGTCTTCACCCTTGAAGCCAGAGTTGATTTCAAAGAGCTGTTTGCCGAGAATGGAGAACGCAATGTAGCTACATGACAGAAAGACCTGGGAGGTATAGATATAGTAGAAGAACTCACGGATGACCTCTACCTTAAGCTTGTTCCATGATTCAATCTTCTCCTTATTATCCTTCCCTTCTTTAGAAAGTCTCTGTAGCTCGGTGACACCTAGTTCTTCCTTGAGCTGGTCGAGGATAAGGTTTCTCTGAGCTTCCTCCGTCCTGATAATGTTTTCAGTGACTGTTGCCAAAATAGGATCTGCTTGTTCATTGAGGTTATTTCATTAAGTTCTGCATGAAATCTAACTCCTCTGGTGAACCGTCCTCCGGTTGTTCGCCTTCTGGGAGATCTTCCTTCTTTTTATCCATGAGCTCAATGATTTTCTTGAATTCGCCGAGTCCTTCCTTAAATTTGCTATAAAGTCGGTAAGCCTGATAGCTGCCGTAGCTGACGGCTCCTAAGGCAATTGCTGATTTCCATTTGTGAGTCTTGATTGTTGCTATACATATAAGTTAATTTATCAACAGGGCTAATGATTCTTCTTCAGATATATCCTTAGAATGTCCAAATCAGGCTGTTTTAAGTAGCTTTCCGCTGTTTATTGGGTTTTAAAATACGTCATCACAAAACATTGTTCTAAAACGAAACTAGAGTAACTTTTCGTGCTAACATTTCCACAGCTCATGTAAAACCTAGTAATACTAGATTTGGAAATGCCTGAAATAACCTACATATGATTCTTGGGAAAGGATTTATCTTGCTTAGCATTTTTAATATTAAATTATAAAATCTTTAATGCAGGGGTTTTGGGGTTTTGGGGTTTTGGGGTTTTGGGGTTTTGGGGTTTTGGGG